GGAGAGGATGATAACGAGGAGGTTGCGACGGACCCAGAGATTGAAGTACTGGTACAAGCAACATATCCCGCTAGTGACGATGAGGCTTTTAGTGACAGTGACTACGAGACCGACGTAGAACGAGATACCGATGAGTCGTCCGTGGATGAGGATTTTGTTGATGAGGAGGAGGACGCGAAAGAGGAGCAGAAGGGATGGGCGGCCGCGGCGGCCAAGGCGCTTGGCTTTCGCTGAGTGTGCCGTGCCCCCGTGTGTAATGGTTCACGGGAAAATAACATAAATAACGATTTACAGGGCAAAAAATGCAAAGTGTCACTTTCCACAGCGTTTTAGCCAAGGACAGTGTCCCCGAAAAGGTTTTGCGGGGTTACGGGGGCCCCCGTAAGGTTTTCGGCCAGTACAGGAGCCTGGTACGGGGGCCCCTCCGTAGGGAAAATTTGGGAGGTACGGGGGATCCCGCAAGTTTCAGGAAAGTCAGTGTCGAACCCTGCGCCGGTTACGTATTGATTGGAATTGACAGGGATGGTCAGCTTGGGTGTAGCGTGGGCGCTGCCACCGTTAAAATTTGTGGGCGCAGTCGCGACCCCTGATATTATTACTCCGGTATCGTACTACAAATTAAATAAACGTCGCAAGTCCTCGAAGGACATAGATGCGCGCAATCTGCCGTACCACGGTACGGCACGCGGCATGGCGAGTCCCAGCTACGCCCGTTCAATCCACATTGTCCTAAATCCTTCCTGACTGGTTTGTAATCGTACGTAATCCTGTGCATCTGCATCTCGAGGTCTCGTTCGCCCTAGGTAAACCTAGCTGAACCTTATCATCGGGGCTGATGAGGCGGCCTCACATTAGCCGCCATCACCCGCACACAGGGCCCCACACACACCTGCACCTCAATGCGGAAGCTCAAGCCGACAAGGTTAAACTTCGCCCAGAGCGCCTTAGCGATGGCGAGGGAAAGGACTTCAGTGAATGCGTCGCCTTTGATGCCCATGCCACCGGCAGGCACGAACTTCAGGATAATCTCTTCCGCCTCATGGAAATCGAATGCCTCTGCAGTAGACGAGCACAGCACAGCGCGTTGCAGCACACAGGAAGGCAAAGCATTCGGCGCGCAGCACCACTGCCTCCGAATGGAGCGAAATGTGGCCCCCTGCCTGGTCCGTACGGCTTTGTCAGTTCCCTACGAATGTACTGCACCCACCAGAGCTGCTGGGATAGCGGTACTTGGTGAGGAAGTTGTAGCGACTGCCGTTCTGCCGGTTGCTGTAGATGTTGCGGAGCTCAAACTGCAACGCATGAACATGTGGGGCCCTGGTTGCGTCGTGCGTGTGTGTTTTAGTGTGATGGTGTGTGTGTCCTAGGGGGGAAGGGTGCATGGAATGGCGAATGAGGGAGTGAGGCGACCGGGTCAAGTGGTAAAGGTTGGGTACATCAGCCCTACCTCCCTACCTACCTATTTACCTATTTACCTATTTTCTATTTACCGATTTACCGATTATCCTATGTACCTGAAAATCCTCCTTCAACTCCTTGGGCCAGCGGCGCTCCTTGCCTCCGCTTCCCCCCGCTGCGGCCTGCTGCGCCACCAACACCAGCAATAGAATGCCAAACACAACCCTCAAAGCCATTTTCAGATATAGCACCAGACCCCAAGCGGATCACTGCAAAGATTTATCTGGATAGAGCTGAAATTCAATGTATGAGTAAGGGACAGATGCACAATAATATGAGGCATCCTTCGCTTAAATCCCCCGTTCAGTTGTTGGATGGTGCGAATTGCTCGACTGATTCGTGGTGCGTTCCGAGACTGTGCTATCTGAACCTTGCACTGGATGGGACGCCGGCACAGAAGCCGTCTACACGCTAGGCATCGTCGCGTCCAACGCTGGCAAGCTGATGAGGGGTACGGACATTTGCCACCATTATAGTAAATGGGTGTGACGAATACAACCGCTACATATTCGCCCGGGGGAGGAAGGTGTTGACGTGAGCTCACACGTCATACATCATGTCGTCGTGGATAAGTTCCTGGATGGGACCACGACCGGCACGTGAGTCAATCGACGTTGTGATCTAACGGTGGAATGGATGCTCGGTAGTATCCCGGGAGAACCCCGGATACCCTCCCGCTTTTTGTACGGTTGGCATAGTCGGGACCATGCTAACCAAGTTATTGTGATCCCCCACCACACACACAAACACACCCCTCATCAAGTTTTGCCCCCGTCTATCGGCACCAGACGATTGATTGTGGCGACTTGTTTGTGTGCTCCACGCACCTAGGAAATGTTGAGTCACATCTCTGGAGGAAGCTGGTCTCCAGCCGGCCTTTGCAAATTACCCAGAGAGGTGTGACAGGCCCGTACGAGCCAGAGGTCCAAGAGCCTAAGAACCACAAGTTAGGTTAGGGACATAGTACAATGGAAACGTTCTAGTACTCAAGAATATACACGGAAGAGACAAGTCGGGTGTTGGCTTCCTTGAAGTTGGAAATAGGGCGGGGGCCCCGCGGGGGCATCCGTACAGGCCGGTAGCTAGGGTAGTGTCAACATGGTGTGCTTCTCGGGCACTCGGGCCCGATCGGGGTCGGGGTTCCCCGCATGCTGCACCGTTGTGCATATGCGTGTATGCACATGTCTCATGCATGCTGAACCATGCACGCATGTTCAGGTACAGATGGTAAATGGGCATCTGTCGAGAATGCCGTGCTTTTTGTGCCCACGCTTTGATTTGTGGTAGGCGGAGCGGGACTTAGCAATGGGGTACTAGAACTAGGAATTGCTTAGGAACACGAATCCTTGTAATTGTGTACCCGGGTCGAAGGGTTTCACTGACCGGGCTTCAGCTGCCGACTGCGGCCACCATGGCTGACCTCTCTAATCTGCTCCACCTCTAATTTCTTCAGCCTTCGCTTTGCTTTGCTTTGCTTCCTTGCGAACTCGCAAGGCGGGGTCCCTGGAAGTGCCCCCGGGTACCGCCGGACTTTCTGGCGGTGGACCTACCACTGTAGTGGTACATGCGACCTATTCGCGAGGAGCTCATGAGGAGCCTGAGCCGCGCGCTCATACATGCATACATACAGATAGACCGACGTAACGCGGCGTAGGGGTTCAGGAGTTTTCCAGCAAATCGGGGCTTGAGGAGTAGGTGCTTCCGGGGTTGACCACGCATGGGGTCCTATTCATACATACATACGGATTAGGGTGCCCCTCTAGCAGGGGAGAGCAGGGACTGCCTCGGGAAAGGGGGCCGTTGGCGAAGTTAACCACCCTGTAACAACATACGTGTATACACGGTAGGTGCACTCGCCACGATGGGGTCAGCAGCCCACCCCTCAAGGCCCTCTCTTCCTGTGTCGGAGAGCGACTAGACTGCTGACGACTGCTGCCCTCCGTCAGGGCAGGGACCCTGCATCCCTGGTCAGTGTCAGGTCCAGTAGCTGCCCCTTGGTCAGGTATCGGAACCCGGTTAGGTGATGTAAAACACACATACACACGCATACACACACACCCAGTCACACCCATACACACACGCACATACCCACACGTACATGCACATATGCACGTGTGCACTGCCTGGGCCCCTTCCTTTCGGCCTACTGATGCTCATGCCAGTTTGTGGCATCGTTCACAGACGTGCAGTTCAGCCTACGTGCACGCCGCAGGACTAACTGCACATTACTGCTGCACATGGCTGTAGCCGGCTTGACGACAGCCGACGACGGCCGGATTTCACATCTTGCCATCCAACTGGCCAGAACGCAGCACCTTCCTTTTGCTGGCAGTTCATACTTCGGCTTACGCTGCCCAAACCTTCCCTGGTTCAAATTCCTTGCAGTTGATGCCTCATCAGGACCTTTCCTTCTATTAGCCTCCAAAGTCAGTTTCACCCTTTTTCAGTTGTGTTGGCTATATATAGGAGGCGTCGTCATTCTCCTAAGTGCGCTACCTCACTATTCTAAGTGCACTACCTCACTACTCTCCAAAGCCGAGGCACCAGTAAAAACAAACATGCAACTTCCTGGACTTCGTTGAACGACGGTCTGCTGCATTGCCTGCTGCGGTCACGGCGGGGATGCCATCGGATGCGCGAACGACAGTATGCGCGAACGACAGTATCAGCGGGAAAAGGTGGGGAGGGTGTCAAGGGGGCGTAGCAAACCATCCATATCTAATATCATCTTGGTTACTGTTTCCTTCGTTATCATAATAATAATTATTATGATTACCATCTGCGATAACAGAGACACGATTTGCTTGTCACGTACGTGACTGCATTACTCAGCTTCATCCCCTGGCCAGGCTTTTGACCCGGCTGTTGTTATTATGTTGTTATTGTTGTTGTTATTACATCGGGCTGCCAAGGTTCTATACTGTAATGCAAAGAAACCGAGCCAAAGGGCACGTCGCCTGTCGCTGTAATCGACACAGGCCTGGAAAGGAAGGACAAGCGGTCCGTACCGGCACGCACAACACCTCAGCAAGCTCGGCTACGACTAAACCTACGAGCAACTCGGTGCGCTGGAAAGGATAGTAACAGCGATTCTTGCCCTGGCTGCTTTGGTAGCCAAGCGGAGTTATGTTCAGCTTGTGGGACTCCCATCTCGGAGATCAGGCAGCTGTGGTAATCTCCAGCCATTAAACGGACTTTTACGGGCCACGAGGTTGTCGCTGGTGCCAGAGCAAACTCACTGATGACCACATCACTGTGCTTAGACTCCAGCTCTACCCACCTAGTGCAGGTAAACCCATGCAGGTGAGCCGATAGTAACTGAACTGTGTCCCCCGTGCCTCCTTACCCATGTATATGATGCTCTACTGACTTTCGTCATGTGTAATACCCCTACCGCCGTACACATGCTTGCCTATGATCACACATATAGAACATAATAATGCACATGCGGCTGATCATACAAATTTAAGCCTCACACCCTTGAAGACATGTCCTTCCACAAATCGTTCAACACGTCTTGATGTACTGCTATAGTAGATAACCAAGGATCACCACCATGCGTATGTGTGACATGCGATTAGCCGCAGAAATCGCAGTACTTGGGCTTGTCGTGCTTGCCAGCCTTCTTAGCAGCAGTTGCAGCCAGGTCGCGGTCCTTGCCGTTCAAAATGGGATAGACGCGGCAGGCCTTGTTGCCCTCGTCCGTATCCATTCCGTCACAGCCGGGGAAGTTGTTGACGAGGGAGACCCAAGGTTCGATATCTCCCACGGTGACGGTGGAGGCATAGTGACTCCGGACGTCCGATGACATACCCTGCATGTATGTACAAGTACAAAACTCGCACCGAGCCAGAAAGGCCAAAAACGTATGCAAATGAAGGTGGGCGAACCAGCTGGCGCCGGTTACATGTTTGAATGGCATTGAAGAAAGGCGGTCAGCTTGGGTGGGTAGTGTGGGCACTGCGGCCGCAGCCGCGACCCCTGGCATCAATGACCAGAAACAACCAGATTCCGGTGTCGTACTACAAACATATAAGCGAGGACACAGATGCGCGCAATCTGCCGTACCACGGTACGGCACGCGGCATGGCGAGTCCCAGCTACGCCCGTTCAATCCATATCGTCCTGCTTGGTTTGAAATCGTAAGTAGTCGATCCTGTGCATTTGCATCTCGAGGTCTCGTTCGCCCTAGGTAAACATAGCTGAACCTTATCATCGGGGGCTGATGTGGCGGCCTCACATTAGCCGCCATCACCCGCACACAGGGCCACACACACACCTGCACCTCGATGCGGAAGCTCAAGCCGACAAGGTTAAACTTCGCCCAGAGCGCCTTAGCGATGGCGAGGGAAAGGACTTCAGTGAATGCGTTGCCTGGGATGCCCATGCCACCGGCAGGCACGAACTTCAGGATAATCTCTTCCGCCTCATGGAAATCGAATGCCTCTGCAGTAGACAAGCACAACACAGCGCAGCACAACGAATGAGGCAAAGCATTCCATTGCATAGCGCCGCACAGCACGGCGCGCAGCACCACTGCCTCCGAATGGAGCGAAATGTGGCCCCCTGCCTGGTCCGTACGGCTTTATCATTCCTGTAGCAAGCTACATTTCCCTTAGAATATTTCAACAAATACTTTTAACAATAACTGTTAATTCGTTAACGATTCGTCTCAAGTTTCGTACATGTTACGAGCTTCGTCACATGTATCGAACATGGCGGTTGTTCGTAAGCGAACCTAACGGGCTGGGGCCCCGGGCCCCACCAACATTATCCTAGTACGGCAAGACCGTGGTAGGGAATCTCCGGCAGGTAGGCCGAGATATAAGCTACCCGGGCGGGGTGCTCTGGCCGGACATTGACGTATCACATTACTAGGTGTTCGGAGTTCAAGACCCCGCTGCCGCCGTCCCTGATTGTTTCGTACACGTCTATGTACGCTAGTGCTTGCCGCTGGGTTGGACTTCTTCCTGCCTCGGTGAGGTCAACTCTACGCTTCCGCTAAGTCAGTCGACCCGCCAGGTGAGCGACTGCTACAGTTCCCTACGAATGTACTGCACCCACCAGAGCTGCTGGGATAGCGGTACTTGGTGAGGAAATTGTAGCGACTGCCGTTCTGCCGGTTGCTGTAGATGTTGCGGAGCTCAAACTGCAACGCATGAACATGTGGGGCCCCGGTTGCGTCGTGCATGTGTTTTTTTAGGGTGATGGTGTGTGTGTCCTAGGGGGCATGGAATGGCGAATGAGTGAGGCGACCGGGTCAAGTGGTAAAGGTTGGGTACACCAACCTTACCTTCCTACCTACCTATTTACCTATTTCCTATTTACCGATCTTCATATGTACCTGAAAATCCTCCTTCAACTCCTTGGGCCAGCGGCGCTCCTTGCCTCCGCTTCCCCCCGCTGCGGCCTGCTGCGCCACCAACACCAGCAATAGAATGCCAAACACAACCCTCAAAGCCATTTTCAGTTATAGCACCAGACCCCAAGCGGATCACTGCAAAGATTTATCTGGATAGAGCTGAAATTCAATGTATGAGTAAGGGACAGATGCACAATAATATGAGGCATCCTTCGCTTAAATCCCCCGTTCAGTTGTTGGATGGTGCGAATTGCTCGACTGATTCGTGGTGCGTTCCGAGACTGTGCTATCTGAACCTTGCACTGGATGGGACGCCTGCACAGAAGCCGTCTACACGCTAGGCATCGTCGCGTCCAACGCTGGCAAGCTGATGAGGGGTACGGGGGAGGAAGGTGTTGACGTGAGCTTCCACGTCATACATCATGTCGTCGTGGATAAGTTCCTGGATGGAACCACGACCGGCACGTGAGTCAATCGACGTTGTGATCTAACAGTGGAATGGATGCTCGGTAGTATCCCGGGAGAACCCCGGATACCCTCCCGCTTTTCGTACGGTTGGCATAGTCGGGACCATGCTAACCAATTGTTGTGATCCCCCACCACACACACAAACACACCCCTCATCAAGGTTTGCCCCCGTCTATCGGCACCAGACGATTGATTGTGGCGACTTGTTTGTGTGCTCCACGCACCTCGGAAAGGTTGAGTTACATCTCTGGAGGAAGCTGGTCTCCAGCCGGCCTTTGCAAATTACCCAGAGAGGTGTGACAGCCCCGTACGAGCCAGAGGTCCAAGAGCCTAAGAGCCACAAGTTAGGTTAGGGACATCATACGCCGTCAGCACAGAACTCAATTATGAGGTACGCGGCACCTTTGAGATTAAATCTAGCCCGAGAGGCGTTGATGTGGCTTTGACCTCGGTCAATGGAGGCAGCCATAGTTGTTTGTGCTCATACAATTTTTGTTGGCTACAGGCGAGATACCTTGCGATAGAGGATTCTATATAGTACCAATAACGCGTTTCAGCCGGGCGAGATATTATGTTTGGTCCGTTACACACACACGGCCACACGCATATGGGCAATCATCATACAGGGCGGGGCCCCCTGGGGGCTTCGCGCTGGGGCCCTGCCCAAAAAGTCCATCTGTCAACTATGACCGCCTGTGTTGAGTCGAGCACGTAAGCCAAATGCTATGTACCAGGTGGGCCAGGTTCGTTTGCTCGTTGTCCATTACAATCGATTTCATGTCGGAATCATGGGATCATGGTTAAGTCCGTGCACTCGGAAAAGGTTGACCAGATTATTTTTTTCAAATGAAGAGGACAAGTCGGGTGTTGGCTTCCTCGAAGCCGCAAAAAGGGCGGGGCCCCCCTGCATCCGTACAGGCCGGTAGCTAGCGCGGCACGTGTGACAATTGATGGGTAGTGTCAACGCGGTGGGAGGTATGCTTGTTGCAGCAGTGCTGATGGTGTGGGAGCTAAGCTTGCACCGGCGGAATCGTCAGCAACGCCTGCGGGCTCCACGCGAATCGCATTCATCCCGGTGCATGCCGCATGGACAGTGCGGCAGACCGCAAGTCGGAATGCCCGTGCGGGCAAATGGTAACGCAAGCTGAGTGAAGTTCGGTGCTGTCTGTGATGTTTATTCCCGAAGCGCCAGCGGCCTCAGCAATCCGCCCCACAGCCGCGAGCTTCATCGCGGCACACCGCAAGTCTCCGGAGGCCCGGAGCATTGGCTATAGTAAATGTACAAACGAGCATCTTGCGTTTTTCATAGAGAAATGAAAGCAAATTTGTCGGCCTGCTGGTGGCAAGTCGGAATGCCCGTGCGGGCAAATGGTAACACGGCCTGGGTGTTCAAGTTATCATACACTATCATCTCAGAATTCAATTATGAGATACACGGCACCTTTTGAGATGAAATTTAGCCCGAGAGGCGTTGATTTGACTTTGAGCTCGGTCAATTGAGGCAGCCAAAGTTGTTTGTGCTCATTTGTGCTCATACAATTTTTGTTGGCTACAGGCGAGATACCTTGCGATAGAGGACTCTATATAGTACCAATAACGCGTTTCAGCCGGGCGAGATATTATGTTTGGTCCGTTACACACACACGGCCACACGGCCACACGCTCACACGGACATGGGCAATCCTACAGGTCGGGGGCCCCCTGGGCGCTTCACGCTGGGGTCCCGCCCCAAAATTTATGGAAGAAACGTACATGTTAACCATATCATAGCACTTCAATGCCATGGATACTATTAGGTAGATCACACCCTCGAGTCAACGGGGAATAGGACTGTTTCTGACCGGACCAAACGCTGCAAAATATTCTGATTTAAAGCAGGCCATTAAAGCAGAAATCAAGCCATTCGCGACGTTGATGAAGACGGCGTAGAAGTCGTAGGCAATGTGAACGCAATGCTCCGGTTGTCAACAGTGAGCGGGCCAAAAGTCAACGTTTGTCATATGGAGGCAACCGCGATGGGCCAGGAAACACGGGTGCCGAGGGTAATGGCAGCAGCGACCCCGGCGCTGCAGCGAAGACTCCTAACCCCACACTTTGCATCATTGCTTTTGATATCTGGAGAGTCGTGCAGTGTTATCTTTCAACGTGATGCAAAACGAACGACGGTGAACGAACTCTATTCGATCAGTGCTGGAGTAGGGGTTAACTGGTCTGTGTTTGCTTGGGCTCTGCAAGCCCTTGGAAACAGCACTCGCCGTGCAATCGGGCTTCCTGTCAAAGCGTCTAAGTGCGCGCCGCTTCCTGGCGCGATAAGAGATACCTTTCTGGAGAGATTGTGGTGTGTGCGTGTTGCGAAATTCCCCAAATCCGGTGTTTGTACAAACTAAACTGTACTCATGGGGGGGCGGAGGGCCCCCCAGCGCCTTACGGATTCGGAACACTTTTATTCCCGCGACTAAAAAATTATTCCCCCGTTCGGACTGGAAAATTGACGGGCAAAAATGAAAAAAAAACTGATGAAACTGACAGGGTGGTGCGCACATACCGGTTAGAGCCTCAGTACTAAATCCTTCCCGATCACATCCATTGGTCTGGTCTGGATTGACACTATTGCAATTAGCGGTTTAAGGTCCTGGATTCGATTCCTGGGTAGACCCCCGAATTAGTCGGGAGCGCGAGATTATGGCTAGCTGCTGAGATGTGGAGTTGAGGTCACAGTTGATGGACCAGATTCGCACGCTGGATTGGTGGCGATTGCCGAACCCTCCGTCTCTTCGGGTGTTCGGGTGAATGGATGAGGAGGGGTCCCTGAAGGCTGGATCCGCCGCCTTGGACTTGCAGTTCGTATGGCGAAGTACAGTGTGGTGGTGGTGGATGGTGCTATAAGGTGATAAATGATCTAGAACTGACAATGTGATAAAGTGGCCCAGAAGCCTCCCACTCTGTAACATTACATTACATTACATTACATCCATTGCCCGTCATCAATGCTGCGACACGATTTCGTGGTCTCTCCGATATACCTCCATAATACTCGGGGATCAGTACGACATTTGCTGACAAACTCCCGAAACAGCCGAAGACAGTATGCAGCACTTCCTCTTTGTCACGTGGTACACCCTCCGAGCATCACGAAATGTCTCCCAACCATATAAGATGGAGAAGTCCCCATGGGTGCGGGTGCTTGCGCTTTTCCTAGCTGGTCTACACCCCTGTCTTAGCCCCATGGGCTGTTATGACGGCACGTTGAGTGGCCCCTGGTTTGGACACGTACCTCCCCCATCTGGAGGATGTTCAGCAGGTGGTCACAGTGCTGGAGGCCCTTTCCCCCCTGGAGGATATCGCCGATGTACCGTTGGAGCCGGGACTGTACTGCTGCAATGTCCCCTTCCATGTGTTAGCCCGTTGCTTCCACACAATGGGGATGTGCCTTACCATATGTGCGCTCAGCCAGAGGTGGAATATCGGCATGAGGCCCTTTTGGGATGTCGGGGACAGTTAACACGAGGTGATATCTTGCATGCGCGTAACAACATTGTTACCAGTATCCTAAAGGAATTTGTGCGGAACGATGGCAGTAGAGTTTGCAGTGAGAGGGCCAGGACGGTACAGCATTGCTTGGACCCTGTGACAGATAAGGCACGTCTGTATCCCCAAGCCCCGAAAATTGCATGACTGCATGGGTGCTGTGGAGGACCTCTTAGCAGATATGTACCATATCCGTGGCGAGCGGAGGCTTTTTAATCCATCGGCCCGTCAAGTCAACTGCCCGCAGGTGCGTCTTCTCCCATACAAGTTGGACAACTCCTTATCAGGAGGTGAGGTTGGGAGGCAAGAGGAAACTTCAGCAGTTGGTGGAGAATAGAATCAACACTTAGCCGCCAGTAAACAGCCCTTCATGTACATGGAAGTTTTCCAAGCGCGGAATGCCACCAACAGTAAGGCACCACCATGCTTTCTTATTTCCATTGTCCCAAGGCAAGTTCGACCAAGTACGACGAAACGCTGAAACTCATAGAAGAGGCACGGAATTGGCCGGAATGGGTTCTGTCTCTACAAGGTTAAAAGTATCCCCTAAAAGTAACCGATGGAAAGGTTGGGATTACGGTGGGGCACATCACCCCTTCTTGCGAATTGCGTCAGGCAAATTGTTATGCTCACGGGTGCGGTCACCAATGGACGATTAGCTATCACCTATTTTTTGTATTCTCTTAATTGGAGGACTTTTGAGCAGGGTTGGACAGGACCTTCCTGAAATGGTCGGGTTGCCGGTTTTCCCCTTCCCATGCAAGTCGGCCCCACCCGATAGCGTTTTTGCATATCTTTCAATTTCTGTCGGGTGCCCCGATAGCCCATCCCAAAACCTGTCGGGTGACGCAAGAACGAAATTTCGCTGTGTGCCGCTTGAAATTACATTTATTCGTATTTTATATGCGCAGTTTCCAGTTCTCAGTTTGCAGTTCACAGTTCTGATATGCACGAACACACACACACACACACACACACACACACACACACACACACACACACACACACACACACACACACACACACACACACACACACACACACACACACACACACAGCAACACATGCACGCCTGCACGTCTGCCTGTCAGCATCACAGCCCGAGCTCTTCAAGGAGACCCTTAGACACCGTAGGACTGGAGAGGAACATCTCCTCGT